GGCGGCTTCTCGGCGTCTGGGCTGCTGGCGCCGACGGGGCGCCGGCGGACCCTGTGGGCCGCCGAGGTCAGCGGGTCGGCGCCCAAAAGGCAGCGTGCTCGGCAGCTGCCGCCGCCCCGCGCGCAGGCCCGCCCGCTGGGGCAGGCAGCCGGCCGCAGGCGACGGCGCTCCCGGCGCCTGGCCCAGCCGCGGGCGGAGGGGCTCCCGCTGCGGCAGCTGGCTCGGCGCGAGCGGCAGCTGGACGGGTCGAGGCACCTTCGGGAAGCCGTGCTGGGTCGCCCCGCCGGCGGTGGGGGGTCAGGCGGAGGGCCCGACGCCTGCGGCGCCCGCGGGGCCGGCGCCCTGGAGCGGCGAATCCTGAGAAGCGGGAGTTCCGAGCCCGAGGTCGTGACGGGCGCCGCGCGGCAGCGCGGGCTCGCGCATTCGCGCGAGCGCCGAGCCCACCATTGCCGCAGCTCGGACGACGCGGGGGGCTTCTCACTCCTGGGGCGGGAGGCGGCGCGGTCGCCGACGCAGCAGAAGTGCCAGAGGGCCAGGGGCGGCTGCCGGGACTTCGCCCGCCGGGGCTGGCCCTCGGCGGAGATCGCGGCGCTCGTGAAGGAGCAGGGCGACTCGGCGGTGGGCGAGGCGCTGGCGTGCTGCGTCAACGCGCCGTGCCAAGCGGGGGCGCGCGCCTCGTCGGCCGAGAAGCTCATGCCTGGCATCTTCCACTTCAGCCCAGGCTGCGCGCGCAAAGGTGCCTGGCGCCCCCCCCGGGGCCTGGGGCCTCCGCGGGCGAGGAAGCCATGGGCGCTTGTGCTGTGGCGTGCGATGGCCTGGCGGATGATGGAGCGCGAGCGCGCGCTCGGCCCAGCTACCTCCTGCTCCTGAAGCCCGCCTGTCCGGTGGCGCCGGCGGCGGGCGTCTGCGGGCACGGGGCCCTTGGGCTCTTGCACGAGGAGGAGGGGGGTCGCCGGGACAAGACGGACTTGGGCGACGCGTTGCTCGAATTCGACTTGCCCTGGATCCGCTTCTTGGGCCCCGTGCCGCAACGCATTGAGCGGGAAGGCCATCCAGAGTGCCAGTGGTCTTCACCTATCCCGAGTGCTGCAAGGTGTTCAGCCTGTGCCTCCAGGACTTGAGGGCGCGGTCTAATTCGCCCCGTGTCAGATGCGCTACTCGGGCGCCACGATAGACTCGGCGAGGATACGGCGACGGCTGGGCGAGGTCCGAAAGCGTGGTCAGTGGAAGGCCGCGCGGAGCGTCGCCAGGCTGGCGGCCGCCAGGGCGACGCTCTTCCGCGCTCGGCAAGACGTGTTCCGTGCCTGCGAGGATCAGCTCGAGGACGTAATTGTGGGGCGCGCCTCGCCGGTCGACTGGCGGGAGATCAGCCGCGTCTGACAGGCCGCTACCTGGCCGACTGCTTCAGCGGCGAGTGCGGGGTCGGGCGCGCCGCAATGGCTTGCGGGGCGCCCGCCAGGTTGCGAAGCGGGCCGCAGGGCGACCTGGCGAGACGCTGAGTCCTCAGAGGCTTGTGCTCGAGGCCCGTCTCGGCTGCGATGTCGGCCCCGCCGCGCGGCCCTTCGGCCGCGGCGGCAGGTCGAGCGGGGGCCGCCCGCTCCGCCCCCCAGCCTTGGGCCCCCATCGGTAGTTTTTAAGTGGGAAGAAGCAGATCCGCTGGGCAATTAGGAAATCAGACCATGTTGGTCGCGCTGGCCATTTTGAGATGTTGCGAGAAGTTCACAGTCCCTTGCGTCCAGAAGCGTCCCGTGAATTCGCGAGTCTTTGTAACGAGAGGGTATCAGGGGTGATAGATGGGCGGGGGGGGGGGGCTACGCCAGGTGCTTGGATCAGCGTCAGGAGGGCGCCCTCCGGCGCAGGCGCGCGCGTTTCTTGCGCCTCGATGTCGACCTGTTAGATAGTGGCTGCCTTGATGGATGGCGCAGCCAGATCAGCGGATTTCGTCCGAAGCGCGGCCGCTGGCATCTTGCTCGCGAGGGCGGCGCTCTGGATTGGGTGAAAAGGGCGGCAATCGCCGTTAGTGGCCCGCCCCCTCCGTCAGTGAGAAGCCCGCCAGTGTTCTTTAGGGCGAATTGCGCGCGCCCTTTTATAATGGCTCTAACCTGCTCTCCCAGTGCGCGAATTGGGGTTCGATCTGGGTTGAATGTGGCCTCGCAGCTGCGTGCCATCACGCGTGGTTGTTCGTTTGTCAGAGTCCTTGCTATGAACTTAGTTCGGGGCATCCTGGTTCGTGCTCGGGGCAATTTCAGAGCCGCCGCCCTTTTGGCTTGCAGTTCCTGCTGCAAATTGGTTTGTCCGGTCCCCCGCCCCCGCGAACCCTATCAGCTACCCTTTCAGAGCCTTGGACAGCGCCTCTGTGTCAGTCGCGAAATTATCGCTCTGTCTTTCCCTCTCCAGGGTTGAGTGTGGCCTCGCAGCTGAGCGCCAGGACGCGTGGCTGTTCGTTCATCGGAGTCCCCGCCATGACAAGTGTTCGCGACGTCCTGGCTTTGCTGCGCGGGCTGCGAGGGCAGCGCGGCGCGCGCCAGCAAATCGCAGGGGGCACCATTCCCCCCTCACACTGCAACTGCGGACATTGCCTGCTGCACGGTGTGTTGCCATGCTGCGAGGCGCGCAGCTTTGCAGAATTGTGAGGTGACAGTTTGACACGCCCCCATATAGCAGGTGGGCCCAATTCTGTTCGCTCCGCAGGCATTGCTTGCTGTAGTTTGTTCGAATTCAATGTGTCATACTTAGTGCGCCCACGACGTCGCCAACGTTGCCTTGGAGGGGCTCAGGACAGCCCGAGATGGCCGCAGGATGCCTTCAAGATGGCCCCATGGGGTTTCACGAGGATATCCAGACGACCAACTGCAGTCGAGCCGTGCGGCAATCTCAATTGAAATCAGTATGTCATTTTTCGTTCAGAATGAGTTCAAGATGGTTTGCGCGGGTTTCAGGGGCGCCTCAAAGGACTTCAAGATGGTCCCAGAAGAACCCAACGACGGACCAGGACAGCCCACGCACGCTTCCAAAGCGGGCTCAAGAGAGCTTTCGCAGGGACCCAGGACGGTCGGGGAGGGGCCCCATGACGCCCCGAAGGGCTCTCAATACGGCCCCAACTGGGCTCCTACAAGACTGTTCCGCGACTCCAATTGAGCTCGTCGTGAAGTTTCTGAAGTCACAAAGCACGTGCAAACGCTGTGCTCTGAGCCGCGTGCTGCGAGCAACTCTTATGTCCCAGCGCCGTGTTATGCTTCGAGGGACAACAACTTTCTTTGCTGCTGGAGCCAATCAGACCAGCCAACCACCCGCGGGGCCACGGAATGTTTGAGGGATGCCTTCAGATGGGCGGAGGGGCGTTATGCGGCACCGTGCCAGTGAGGCATTCGGTGGAGCGAAGACGTGGTGCCACCAGGAATAAAACACGCGCGAGGTACTTCATGAGGCTTCCGGTTGTGACCAGGTTGACGGCTCACCGCCTGCATTCAGACGATTTTTGTTTCTTGGGACCCTCTTTGGACGCATCTTGGGAGCCTTTTGTGGCGTCCCGGCAGCTTCCATCGTGGGCGTCAAGGAACGATATTTCGGCGACTCGTGGCCCTCGCGTTTTGGTCCCTTCGTGGCCCGTTTTGGAGCCCTCCGCTCCCCCGTGGCGCGTTCGGTCCGGGGTCGGGCCGGGCCCGGGGGGGGGGTCATTGCCGGTTTGGGGTCCCTGGGGTGGAACAACGGGGTTGGAAGCGGACGCTCTCCAGACCACCTACGCCCAGAGGGCTGGTGAGATTCGACGGTCTATGGCCTGTTAGTGAGGTGCCCCCTTCTGGGGCCCTTGCCGTTACGAAGCTCGTGAGTGGCTCTTGCGCGGCTCTTCGGTGGTTTTTCCGGAGGCCTTTGCAGCATGGATGTAGCTCCGGGGGCCCACTTGCCAAATCGGCAGCCCTTCGGGGGGCTGGCCAGTCGACAGTGAGGCTCCATTGGCAAACGTGCAGGCCCAGCCAGGGCGGGGGGGAGGAGGTCGCTAGCTTGTTTGTGGGCCAGGTCTGGGCGGCCAAGGAAGTCCGATTATCGATTCGACAGCGGGCGCCGGCTTTCAGATGGGTCATTTGGAGGCAGGCCGAGGCGCGGGAGTTGAGCTCCGATTGCCCATGTGTCAGTGGGGGCCCACTGTCACATTGGCAAATGGGGTGCCGCTACTCGCGGGAATTGAGCTCTGATTGCCCGTGTGACGGTGGGCGGCCACATTCACATGAGCAATCGGGGGGTCTAGGCCGAGGCGGGCGAATTGAGCTCCGATCGCCCAATAGACAAAGGGAATTCCGCTGTCAAATTGGTCATCGGGGTACCCGATTGTAAATTTTCTAATGGATTTCCCATTGCCGAACAGGGAATCTGAAGGGAAGTGTCGCCGAGTGCCCCGTTCGACAGTGGGCATCCCGTTCTAAAACGGGCAAAGCTCGTTCGGCACGTTCCGCTGCATTTTTTCCGCGCCCCCAGGGGGGATTATGCGGGGGAAGGATCTCGCACGCCGTGATGACCCCGAAGGGGTCGGTGTTGCCGTGACTGCACCTCGAGCCCGTTGCTAGCCCTCAGAAGGCCTGGCACCACGCGCCAAGGGTGGCCTACGCTCGGGGCACTTTCTCCTTTGGTGAACTCGTGTGTGTGTGTGTGTGTGTGTGGATTCGTGCGAAGCTCACTGACAATGACTGCAGAATCGGCAATAACCTAAGCGCGCTCGCGTAGCGCGCGTGGTTATAGTGCGTGTGTATATAAATATATAATATGAAAATCGATTGATGGGCCCATTTTCCATCTTCACTACCATATGTAGGACAGGAGGAGGAGGAGGAGGAAGAGGAGGAGGAGACGAAGGAGACGAAGGAGACGAAGGAGGAGGACGAGGAGGAGGAGGCCGCGGACCTCCTCAGGCTCCCTTCTCCCCCGTCCTGCATGTGGTAGTGGTGGCAGGATATTTGCCCATTCTAGATCAGCCCTTCGGACACTTCGCCCCCTTCTGAGCCCCCGCGCCCCCGAGGCTCGAGCTGGCCCGAGAGGCTCCCTCGAGCGGGCGCGCGGGGCGGCGGCACCGCCCGCAGCCAGCACGGGCGGCGCGCACCGGGGTGCGGCGCGGGAGGCGGCGACCTCTCAGCACAGGCGGGGGGGCGCCCAGGCGGGGGGGCGCCCGAGGAGGAGGAGGATGAGGAGGAGGAGGAGGAGGAGGAGGAGGAGGAGAAAGGGAGGAGGAGGAGAAAGGGAGGAGAAGGAGGAGAAGGAGGAGGAGAAGGAGGAGGAGGAGGAGGAGGAGGAGCCCGCTCTCAGGCGATCGCAGACACGGATCCAGCGGGCATAGATTTTTGTTCATTCTTGTGCCGGTCGGCGTCGGCCCTCGCACCCCCCCCCCTCCCCCCCCCATGGAGCAGATCTTGGCCGTTTCTGGGGCGCCCGCCTCGAGCAGGTGGGGTCCCTCTCAGAGGCAGCACTCCTGCAAGCAGTGGTACGAGCGGGGGACGCCCGAGAGGGCGGGGGCTCTCGGGCGATCGCAAACGAAGATGCGGGAACGTGTGGGAAGTGGGGGGGGGGACGAAGACCCAGGAAGTACGGGAAAATACCCAGTCCCCCGCAGTTGCGGATAAGAGAAAAGGGTGCCCATCCCCAGTGTCCATCTCAGTGTCCATCCCTAGTGTCCATCCCCAGTGTCCATCCCCAGAGTCCATCCCCAGTGTCCATCCCCAGCGTCCATCCCAATTGTTCATCCCCAGTGTCCACCCCCAGTGTCCATCCCGGAGGCGAACCCTTCGGAATTGCCAACGCACGCCCGGGGAAGAAGTAATCTCGCTCGGGCACCCCTCTCTCTGATGGGGGATCCTGGGATTCCACACAGGCCATTGGTTTTCGCATCGCTTCTGAGTCTGGGCACCGCTCGGGCGCGTGCATTTTTTTCTCGGCGAAGACCATCGGGTAGCCTTTCTCAGGCGATCGCAAACATGGATCAAGGGGGCGTGGATCAGCGACGGGTCCCGTTTTCATGGGAAATCGCGGATCTCCGCCGCCGACCAGTGCGGCACTGGCCGCATTTGGGGGAGGGCACCTCCCCCGATCCATGGATTTGGCGACCGCGCGCCAAATACATGGATCGCTAGTCCGTGTTTGCGCGCCCCCGAGTGTACACCAGTCGTTTATAGCAGGTAGTTCCGGATTCCCAGATTCCAGTCTATTTTAGGCGCCTTCCTGCTTCAATGAACGAGTGGTTTCTCCTTTTCCTTCATCTTTAGGTGGTGGGCGGTTACCCAATCTACTTTCAGCGCCTTCCTACTTCATGCTTGTATCGGCTTCTTCCGACTGGTGGGTATCTGAGAAGGCCAAGAAGGGCCCCGACGGCTACCATGAAGGCCTCCCAGGAGCCCCCGGCCGGGCCCGTCCAAGAAGTCCCCCTCGGGGCTCAAGAGACGGGGGTCAATGCAATCGGGGGTCAGTCCCAGCGCCAGATCTTGCAGGATCCTGCAGGACCAGGGGCGCACTGGCCTAGGCTTGGGTGCAGGATGCTGCAGGCTCCTGCTGGAGCTTGCAGGATCCTGCAGAGCCTGACTGACCGGGGTCTGGATTGACCCGGGTCAGAACATCCAGCCACGCGCTGGGGGGAGGGGGGAGGGCTTCTTAGAAGCGCCCCTGCGTCTTAGAAGGCGTGGGCCTCATCTACAGGTGTAAGGCCGGCGCCTTCTGAGAAGCAGCCTCCTAAGAAGCCCTCCCCCCTCCCTCCGTCCCCCAGGTGCGTGCCGCCAGAACAGCCCCGACTCTAAGGAGCCCCTGGCCGGACCCGTCCAAGAGGGCCCCCACCCGCTTTCTTGATTACAGGGCCGCCCCCCTCGCGCCGCCCCGGCGTGAGCGCCGCCAAGAGCATCGAGCGGGCGGTCAGGGGGGGGTACGAGAGGGGCATCGTGTCAAGGGGTGTGGTGTGCAGATTTCATGTAAAGGGGAATCTGGCGATGTTGTTTATCGCAGATAGCATCGCCAATCCACGATTGGCACCATTCGAGGGCGTAAAAAACACCCTTACCCTGGTTCATGAGGCGCTGTGCGCTGAACCTCCTGTGGGCTGCCAGGGTAAACCCTGCGTATCGCGCGTGCCGCGCGGCGTCCTGGCGGCTCTTTGGCCGGTGGGAGTTCCCAGGAGGTTTACTGACCACGGACTTGTAGCCCAGGGTAGGGGCGTTTTTTCATCCCTAAAGCCACACCCCTTTCTGCCATACCCCTTTCCGTGGTGGCTTCCAGGAGGGGGTGAAGGAAAGGGCTCCCAAGGGGTCCTGCCAGGCCCCTCCTGGGCCCCTGCTGGCTCCACAAGCGGCCCCTTTCGGGCCCTCTTCTCCCCCCCCATCTAGGTTGATGGGCCGACTTTCCACCACCACTACCTTCGGTAGGAGACGAAGGAGGAGGAGGAGGGGGAGGAGGAGGAGGAGGAGGAGAGGAGGAGGAGGAGGAGGAGGAGACGAAGGAGACGAAGAGGAGGAGGAGGAGGAGGAGGAGGAGGAGGAGGAGGAGGAGGAGGAGGAGGAGGAGGAGGAGGAGGAGGAGGAGGAGGAGGAGGACCTGCCCACTCTGCCTTCTCCCCCGACCTGCCCGTGGTACAGTGCTGGTGGTGGACACTTGGCCCACCCAGGCCCCCCCCCCGTGCCTCCCGCCCGGGAGTGCCTGGCATGGCCCTCGTGCAGCCGGCGCCGGCCTCGGCGCTGTCCCCGGCGCACGGCGCGAGCGGCCCCGCGCCCCCCGCGGCGGCGCCGGCAGGCCCGCCGCCGCTCCCGCCGGCGTCGTCGGCGCTTGGCCGCTCGAAGCACACTTCACCGAGTGCGTTCCACTTCTCTTAAGTCGGACGTGTCCCTCTACAGGAGGAACATGCACAAATAGTTTAAGAGTCGTCAGGTGACTTTTTTTTCTCCTATTTTCGATCATGTTTTTTTTTTTTTTTTTTTTTTTTTTTTTTTTTTTTTTTTTTTTTTTTTTTTTTTTTTGTTTTTTTTTTTTTTTTTTTTTCATTTATCGCCCAACATCTTCCTGTAGGGGGACAGGCCCGACCTAACACTACTTACAAAGTGCCTACTCGTGATCGTTTTCTTATTCATTGCTTTGCCGATCGGCGAGGGCCCTCGGACCCCCTCCTCCCCCCCACCCCCTGGAGGGGCTGGCATTTTTTGGGCTGTTTTTTGGCGCCTGTTTCAGGCAGGTGGGGTCTCCCCCACAGGACGCACAGTCCCAAACAGACGCCATTAAGCAGAGGTCCAGGGCCAGACCCCCCCCCTTCCGCCCAATGGCAAAACGCAGAGTAAAAAAACGTTCACCTCGCGAACGTCTGGAAAAACACATGTCTGTATCGGAGTAATATATCGTAACAGGCCACTCGCGAGTAGTTACTCTGCGAGTCGTGGAACGCGCTTGTCTGACAGTCGTCGGCGAGCGAGGGGGGGGGGGGGAACGAGAAGGAGAAGGTCTTCTCAGAAGGCGGCGGGACTTCTCAGAAAGCCCTCGCGCCTTCCGAGAAGTTTGTTCCTGTCTCCGGGGCAGGCTTCGAAAAATTCTCTCGGGAGGCCAGGGGACTTCCGAACCTTTTGAGAAGGCCTTCTCCTTCTCACTTCCCCCCCCGCTCGCCGCCGACACAAGCAACGGTATATACAGTCAAGGTGCCAGAATAAGGACCACCTTCGACTTCAGTCGGGCTTGTCCCTCTACAGGAGGAATCTTCAAAAGCAGTCAACCAATAGTCCCAGGATTTTTTCATGTATAAAAATAGTATTTTTGCTTATGTTTGGCGTATCTTTCAATCACCTTGCATTTTTCGGACTAGCCGACCTAACCTTAGACTCAGGGTGGGCTTGGGTTTTCGGGCCGGCCCGTGGACCCGAGTCGGGGGGAACCCGTTCGCGGCCAGGGCCCGCCGTGGTCAATCACCGAGCGCGTTCCACTCCTCGCAGAGTGCCTCCTTTGTCGCAGATCCCCCGCGGCGGATCCGGGCCATTTGCGGGCCAGACGAAAGGGGGGGATGGGGAAAGGGGGGCTTACGAAATTTGCCGCATGCAGCTGTTTTCGGCCTCACCGAGGGGCCCATTCCTCGATACATAGCCGCCTCCGGCGCCGGGAGGCGCCGGGAGAATCAGCTACGTGAGCTGATTCTCAAACCTCCCCTTTGCTATCCCCCCCTTTCGCCCGACCCGACATTTGCGAGTACTTACTCTTCCAGTTGTGGAACGCGCTTGTCTAGTCAAGACAGCCCCTCCGTTCGTTCCTGATCTGGCGTTCCTTGTGGCAGCGCGTCGGCTGCAGGCATGCATGACCCCTCGGGGCCGCGACTGGCTGACCCGACGAATTTCAACCCTGAGCGATCGGGGCCGCGATCGGTTCGAGGTGGAACGATCGACGCGGTGTCACACACAGAGGGGAACGGAACATGGCATAACCATAAAAACTCGGAGGTCCGCGCGGATTTCTGGGATCGGCGCTGGGCCCCTCCCTGGCGGTGCCTCCGGCGCCCACCGTGGCGCGCCGTCCGCGCGCGGAGCTCCGAAGCCCTGATGCTCCTGCTGCTTTTCTGTCCGGCCCGCTCCTCGCCCGCTCCCTCCTCTCGTCCCCGGCCGACCCCGCGCTGTGAGGCATCCAGCGGCATCCTCATCCTCATCCTCGTCGTCCTCCTCCTCTAGGACTCCAGGGGAACGAAGAACGACATAAACATGAAAGCTCGGAGGTCCGCGCCGTCCTCTTGGATCCGCACTGGAGCCCTTTGGCGGCGCCTCCAGCGTCGCCCCTGGCGCGCTCCGCGCGCCAGGGAGAGCCTCCAGCGCGAATCCAACAAAACCGCGCGGACCTCCGAGTTTGTATGTTTATGTCATTCTCCGTTCCCCTATCCTCATCCTCCTTCCCCGTCGTTCTCGCGCCGTGAGAGGGCGGGGGGTTCTGCAGCTCCAGGCCTCGCCGGGCCCCATCGGGCTGTGAAAGGAAAGGTTCGGGATGAAGCACCAGCCCCGGAGAACGCTGTCCAGACGTCGGGGGTGCACATTGTGAACAAAATGACGACGTCGGATGTCTGTGTAGGTCCTCATTCTGTCTTCCTGCTTCCCTTCTCCCTCCCCCTGGGCGGCGCAACCTGCTGCCGTCGTTGTCCCGCCGCCGTCGCCGCCACCGCCGTCGTCGTCGTCGTCCTCGCCGTTTCCGCCGCCGCCGCCGCCGCCGCCGCCGCCGCCGCCGTCGTCGTCGTCGTCGTCGTCGTCGTCGTCGTTTTCGTCGTCGTCGTGGTCGTGGTCGTGGTCGTGGTTGTTGGCGTGGTCGTTGTCGTCCTGGTCGTCGTCGTGGTCGTGGTCGTGATCGTGGTTGTTGTCGTCGTCGTTTTCGTCGTTTTCGTCGTCGTCGTCGTCGTTCTCGTCGTCGTCGTCGTCGCCGTCGATTGCCAACCGAGAGACCAGGGGGCCCAGCAGCCGACCTCCACGGGGTTCTCAGGATGCTGCCGCGGGCCTCCAGAGGCCGTCGCGGTCAGACTCCAGTGCCACAGACAGAGGCCCCCTGGAGGCTTTTTGAAAGCCCACTGAAATAAGTTTGTCGAAGCGCCGCGTCGAGAGAAGAAACACGATGACCATCAGGGCTCCTGTCGAAGTTGATCTTGGTCACGGTCCATGCAGGTCGTCGCCGATTAGCGAGGATGATCCATGAAATGGTGACGACCAACATGTACGACCAACATCGACACCGACGTTTCCGGGTTCAGTCTTGGTGATTGTCCTCGTTTTTTTTTCTCCTTCCATTTCAGCTTCACGGCCCCACGCTCAGCATTCACCGAGCGCGTTCCACTTCTCGCAAAATACCTACTCGCAAACGCCCGGAAACACATTCGTTCGTCTCGATGTAACATATCGTAAATCCCCTGCGGCGGATCCAGGCCATTTGCGAGTAGTTAGTGGAACGCGCCTGTCTAAGTACAGTCGAGGCGCTGAAGAAGGAACCCTTCTCGTTGGGGAGGGGCTCGGTGTTCCCTACTTGTTTTGCACTTCGCCTTAGGTGCTCCTTAGGCTTTCGATGGGAAGACGATGTTTAACTCATGGAAACATTGTGATCTCGTTCCTTCTTCGGGGCTCCTTGGGTCAACGCCCCGACTCTACTGCAGGTTCGCGCAGTCTCGACGCGGCGGCGACCCCGCCGTGGGCGTTCGAGGCTCAACGCTGCCAGTGGCTCAGAATCGGCCATTCTGGAACGACCTGGCGATCGAAGGGCCGCCAATCGTTCAAGGTTGAACGATCCACGCGATGGCAGAACCATCGCCGGCGTCGTCACGACGCGAGCCTGCCGTACGGGGGCCTCAGGAACTCCTGGCCACCCGGATGGCTCGGGAGCAGCTGAGCGCCGCAAAAAAAACAACACGGGGTCGTCGGCCTCGACACCGGCGCGTACGCTGCCCGGCGTGAGGTCGCGCGCAGGCGCCCTCGTCTCCCACGTGGCGTGCCGCGCGGGCGCCCCGCGCAGGCCGCCGCGGACGATCGCTGTGCCACCCCGCGCAAGACCCGTCCTTGCTCGCCGCTCGGGTGGGGTCGGAGGACCACCCCACGCCGGCGGCGTCCAGGAGGCGTCCGGAGCCGAGGTGGGCCCCGACCGCGCTCGGGCGCTGGGCGGGCCCGTCCGCCGGCTGGCCCGCCTCGGCGCCCCCGCTCTCGGCGCCCTCCGCGCTCGCAGCGTCTCACGGCAGCCGGCTGCGCGGCCCTGCAGCCAGCTGGCTGAGCCGAGGGCCCCCCTCTGGCTCAGGAGGGGCTCTGGCTTTCGGGAAGCTCCTCAGGTTGGGTGGTCGGGGGAGGTGCTTCTGGCCGTGGCTCGCCGTGGCGAGAGGAGACCTTTCGTTCCTGACTCGGCGATCGTACCTCGAAGGGAGCTGCTTAGTGAGCGAGCGGGAACAAAGCGGGAGCGAGCGCATCCGCGGCCGTGTATGCTCAGGTGTAGGCATCAGGATCTGACCAGTCAGTACGACTGCTATTTGAGTAACGGTGACTACTTATCTATCTCTGCATCGTCACATCTGTTCGACCTGGTAGCGGAGCTGGCCGCACACTTGTGTGTGGCTGGCTCTGTTGCTCAGAATTTCCCACGGCACCATAAGGATGACCAATACGGACTACCATGTGCCGACATCTCTTCGGGGAGCGGAACCAAGAAAGTGGCGTGGACAGCCCAGCAACGGGCCTGAGCTCGGCAACGGGCCTGCGCCCAGCAACCGATCCACCACGACCGCTACACCTGTATCTGCCGCCATCCGCGTTCCCAACACGATTTTTGATATACATACCGCGGCTTCACGTCGCCTGCGCTCTGTACTACAATTTCGATCAGCGCGACAACAGGCCTTCATACGCTGATCTACTTGATAATTCTGCAACGCACGGATACGTGCAGCCACAGGTTTTGCGACGGTCAACAGCAAAACGTAACGTCAAGAGATCAGGTCACCCCCAAGAGTCAGTGGCATTTCCCCACTACCTTAAAAAATTCCCTTACTTGGAATCATATGTGGCACTCGGACTGGCTGTAGTCTACATTCGGCGTGGTGCAGGCGACGCTACACTCATATGGGTACTTCAACTAGGACCCTGCGGGGGCTTCACCCTTCAGGACTTACGTCCATGAGGTCCATGCGTGGCTCAGTGTTACAATCGGCCGCTACACACCACAACATCAAGCGGCCGTCTTACAAGAACCTTCCTTCCCGCATCAGAACACTACGAATTCCCGCGTGCAACATCGACTGCGGAATAGACACCAAT